TCAATGTTGATTCGATGTTGAAAAGATCAATATTGAGAGAACGTTGTCCGGTCAACGTTACATCAACAGATGTCTGGCGAGACATGCGAACAAACAAGATTTCCTGACTGCGAAATGTGATGGCAACTATTGAATATTTGTCCAACATGGTTAGTTACCATATACATGCAATCAGTACGCGTCTCTAGTACTTTTAGAACGTTGATTCAACGTGAGTGTGCTACTTGGGAGGTGATAAGGTCGAATCCGAAATGACCGAAGACGTAAAAGAAGGCGACCCCGATCCTCACAAGAGGAGGCTGAAGAGGGCTAAGGACGCGTTCCTTACCGCCATCGCCTTCCTCGATGAGAAGACCCTGTCGACGTTCATAGGAGTATACTCCTACTTGCTCACTGGGAAAGTCGAGATGTTAAGGGCCAATTGAATGAAAGTTGTTTTCCCGGTGTTTTTCGAAAGTCATCGGTTAACCGATGTCTAAGGCCAAAAATGCATTGCATGAACGCTATCTTCCTTTAACCATTGTCTAACCGATGTCTAACAGAAACTGAAAAAGGTGTCGCTTCCAGACAAGGGATGAGGCATGTTTTGCCGATATTTATTCCAGCCTTTGCATACCATCTCGATGATTATAGCGCTGCTGAAGCACAATGGATTCTGTTTATGGATCCGTTCGATAACGGCGATGTGCTCTCGTCGTCGCATGGGAGGAATAAACATAGGTTCTGGGCTTACTCTCTTTGGAGAATATGTCGATTAGAACTTCCGCGTGAGTTACCAATTAGGATAGGGATCAGGGTACGGTATCGACCTACATCGCGCTCAACTCGAAAGGAACGAAGATCGTGGAAGGGATCCCTTGACTTTATATCGACGGATAGGAGCAATCACTGTTCGTGTACAATGAATCGTGATTTGTTCAAGTACCCATCCCCTGAGTAATTAACTAATATGATTCGAAGGTAAATGGAGTATCATGAAAGCCTTTCGATTTGCATGTTAAGCTGACCCTTCGATTTTATGTGGCGTCGATTCCGAGAAATGGAATGGCGCAAGCCATTGCCCATTTGCATCACTATTCCTAGGAGGAAAAACAGAGTAGTTCTTCCAAGATTATTTGATATTTTCGGATTTCCAGGAGTGAACGGTGTCATCGACGACATTCGTACTTGAATAGAATGCCCAGACAACTTTCATCAATCGCAAATGCTCCTATTTCATCGATGTCCAAGCAGTGCGCGATGCGGACGGGATTTTTACTGGTGATGACATCACGTGACCAAGATCCACACGGGATTCTCGAATATCCTCATTTTGCAGTCGTACACAAATGATTAATAATAATAATTAATCTTTGTTTCTGTATTTATTTGCATGATGCAGATAGAGGCTATACATATTAATCAATAAAACTCCTAATTTCGCATGACATCAGAGAAGAAACGCTCCTTTCTCGGCCATACTGAAATGAAGACATGAGAATTTGAAAGGAACTTTTTTGTTTTCTGTCCACAGAATTGATACACCTTATGATGACTACTCAAACAAATGCTTGTGAGAAACTACCAGTTTCGGAACTACTACTTTATTTCAAAATATATTAAATGATAATGAACCCCTCCGTCTTAGTTTTCATGATAGCACTGTTGAAGCCACCACGACTTAGGGATATCTCATTGAGCAAACAGATTTTACGTAAAAACAGCATGAAAAGAAGACAAACAAAACCAGGAAACAAGAGCCGGCACCACATAAGGGCATCAGGTATGTGATAGACAACATCATGTGTAACACAGTTGACCTATCCTTGAATGAAATCGCTGTAATTGACTCTAGCGGAAGTGACCTCAGCAAACGGCTTTCTCTTGCTGACCGTAGCACTGATCTCGGGCCCCTCGCAGACAGACTGAATGCCGTCTTCCTCCCTGACATCAGTGGAAAGCTTCCTTTGTTTCCTAGAAGACTGTTGCTGTCTATAAGTTTTACGGAAAAAGTCCACGAACAAGACGAAGTAGCTTAGATACATCAAAATTGCGCATGTCAATATCAGGTTGGACATGTTGCATATGTGCCTTTGCAGCTTCGTGACGGTCACGTATGCACAAATTATTATGCCAGACACCATCTGCGCGATCTGAGAAATGGTAATGAGCATCATGAATTCTTGAGGCACTGATACCCTCAAGGCTCTCAAGAGGTAATAGGAATACATGAGTGTGTGCACCGCAGCGTTCATCAAACAGAACCAGGATCCAGCTTCCTCCACTCTGGCGGTGTTGAACCACGTGAAGAGGACGACGCTTGCGTGGTGGTACCAGTGGAGGAATATCAGCTTCTGCTTCCGGAGGAGAATGAAGTAGGTGTCGCCGAATTCCAGGATCTTGGAGAAGGAGAAGATAACAGTCCATAAATAGGCAGTTGGGTCTTCTTCCACAATCCTGAAAAATGATGACGAATATGAGTTTAATCCTAAAATGTGGATTAAGTCACACAGCGGTGAATTAGCCAAGACATAATCGTTCATTGATAAATGAATTGATGAGCATATGAAGGTAAAATTCATTAATGAAGGGATCTCAACCATAAGAAACAAGTTCATTCAAGGTGGATATGAAAGGGAAGGGAAATAGGACTAAAGGATATATGGACAGTAAAAAGTGATTTTAAAAATTGAATCGCCTTGAAATAGATGTCAACGTCTCATTCGCTTCCTTGTTATTATCTGAATTCATTGATCCATGATTGAAAATCGATCATGATAGATCATTTGCGGAACTCATCCGATGGCACAGGTGCTTGGGCCGAATCCAAAGTGGTTCACGATGTAAGAGATTGTGACTCCGATCCTCACCGTGACAGCGAAGCTGAAGAGAGCCAAGAACGTGTTCCACGCTGCTAGGGCCTTCCTCAGTGAGAAGGCCGCTCTTTTCTTCATTAATGTTTCCAAGGCATAAATGCTAGCAACGTAAGCAACGACGGCGAGCCAAGGCAAGTAGTTAATGGAATTCATGTATGCCGACAACTCGAGGACCGTGTAGCTCGTTTCCCATGGCTGTAGGGCCGGATGAGGTGGTTTGTAGTTCAGTCGCCGGGTCGAAGAGGTCAGAGTCTTCAAGCTCATTTTTAGAGCTACCTGAAAACAGAAAGCTAAAATACATTTTATTCTCACTTCACTCGAATTGGTTGGAGTAGTGCACTGGTTAGAACCTATGGAAAATTGGGATAGAAACTCATTTTTCTAGTGTCCATGGTGAAATTTTTTCTATAAGCATATGAAAGTGACTGAAGTCGAATTGGTCCAATTTGATAACGTGCCGCCATGGGCATTCATGTTTTTATTAATGTTTTGACACCGTGTATTGCACCATATCAGGTTACCGCACGTTGAAGCAAGGATATATTTTCATATTGACAGATAAGGAATATACCCCATTATCGTCACCCACCCTGGACCAATATTGCGATTACTAACAGGGCCGATATTGGCGCTTCCTTATGCTTTTCGTCATTGAATTTTTTGAAAGGGTAATTTATTTAGATCCATTACCCATGGAGATATTCCTGCAGTTCTAGTACTTCATGTACTAGTGTAATTTCATACCCATGCAGACGTACGTCCATATATGGGCGGGAGTGAGGAAACAGTACAGAAATGGGACGTTCCTTGCATGTACCTTCAAGGGAATATTCACCCTTGGATGTTCTATGAAGGCTCCACAAATTCGGTTCCTCAATTCCTTCCCCAGATGAAGCGATGGACGAGGCTAGCAAAAACAAACAAATTTTGTTAATTATTTTCTAGTTATAATGAATATTTTCTCGTAGTGTTCTCAAAGGGAATACGAGCTTGATTATGGCCTAGGCTCCATGATTCTATTTCGAAAATGGGGATAACAGATGATGAAGTTTCCTGATTTCTATGAGACAAGTCGAGACACCTGGCGAGGTACTAAACACTCCTGTGAGGGACAATTCCATGGAAAGAGCGAAAAATACTTTTGTGTACTGTGCAGAATGCGAGACCCATACCTCCATCTAGTGGCTTGAAGGAGTACTTCAACACATCTCAAAAACTTTTAAGTGCAACTTGGGCACATGGGAACGTCACATCGGTTTGATATTAGATCGATGATGAAAATACAATATTGGGGAACTAATATTTAGGTGGCATTGGCAATATTGGTCAAGGTGCAGCCAACTTGCTTCAAAGCGAGAGGTTCATTAGTTCCTGTATTTGCATCGTGCAGTGCGCCATATCAGGACACCGCCAAGGGTAACAAGGAAAGATTTTCGTTTACCATGTTCAACTTATGTGATTGTTTTGTGTGGTGAAAACTGATAGCAATTTCTGAACTCAAGAGACTCTTCCCAAATGTGAACTTGTTCGGGGAAAATTTGAGACCAATTCAACAAGTTACATATTCGAAGCATTAGAGAAACCTTCACCATATTTAAAACTTGAAGAGGAAAACTCCACAGGTTGTGTGAGGCAGGCATCAAGGGAAGCACATGGACGCGAAGAACAGACTGCACGAGTGGAAAATCTAACATGACACGAGAGTTGCGTTCGGATCGCGTATCTCTCAGACAGCAGTCTGAAGAGGTTGGGGGAACATCTTGGAAGGGAAGCCTTGGGTTTGGTATGGAGGGCGTGTGGGCTTCAGCTAACTCGGAATCCCATCACACGGCAAGGCGAATGTACGAATCGGCAGGCTCTTTACCCTTTTCGGACCTGAATTAAGGTCGCTATCGGAATAATATTCTTTCTTGCCTTTTTGAGATCTTTCCTGATTGTAATTGAAATTTTCATTCTTTATGTGTAGTTTTCATATTTTGTATAAATTTACCGCATCATACCATGTATATTATATATTATACATTTAATTAAATAACTGAATATTACAAAACTAATGGGTGAAAGAAGGCCTCTGATAGAACTAAGCCATGCATAATTGCGCCTATTGTAGCGTAATATGGAGGGCAAAGTCATGAGAATTCTAAGAAATTGCAATGAACACAATTGATTGTCCATTGGAATGGACGCCAGGTTTGAGAGGATTAAAAAAAACCCCAATGGGAACTTTCCCACCGACAATTTTTGACTTGAGTAAGTTGACGCAAGCGTCGAAGGATGTGGTTGTGAAATAAATATTTTTTCACTAGAGACATATATGGTATCTGGTAGCCGATTTGAGACTAATAATACGAAACAAGGAAGAAAGGTAGACTGGTAACACATGGACAAACAGGATAACAAAAGGAAGAAAGGAATTTCCTGTCACGATGACATGGGGGACAGGAAAAGGTTCCAATTCTCTGCTACTCGAACTCGTTTTCTTGGAAAATCGTGATGTTGTATCTCTCAGGGTTGATTCTCTGCAACGACGAATTTGCCGCTATGTCGGTTTTTGTTGAGGTCTCTTTTGTTCCGATGAATTCAATATGTTATGGACGATGATTGCTCATATTTGGTTAGAACAAGCACAAGGCGGGAAAGGTTCAACATATAGCTCATCGGAAAAGAACAATAATAAACCGCAGAAAAGTGCACTTCGCCGTATGTCTGCCTGATCCTATATATAATCCTTTTCTTTGTCAGTTGACGTTTTAGAAGATACACTTTTCATTATTGAGCGGTAATATTTCTGAGATGCATTCCGTGAATCAAACAACATGAAGGGAAGTTACGAAATGGATTAAGCTTCTCAATACATTGAAATATACCGCTTGTCGCTCAAGGCCGTTTTCGGAGTACTCATGAAGATGGGCAAGCACGTCACACCTGACGTTTCTCTAACCTTCTATAGGCAGTGCAGTGACTTGGATCACCATTCCTGTTGAATCTGAGGGAAATCGATTTCCAGCGCGAATTTCTGCCACCGATCATCGTTTTCCTGCTTTTCATGGGCAGAATTGCTGAAATTGTGGAATGTTAAATTACAGGTAGGAAATGCCGGAAAGGATCCTTCTCTTTGACCGGTGATGCGTATCGTCAGCGCAATTGAAGTGAGTTGCCGTATCGGAAAAAAATATAATCCTATTGGTCGCGATGAGGTTAGCCAGTAATTGTTCTGACATTTGAAGGTCGGGAGAGGAAACTTGTAAAACTGAAAATTCTTTCCTTACTCTCCAGAGTGAAAGAGTAAGTATTTTTGTGATTTACAATAAAAGTGGTAAATCAAGGTCGACATCAATAATTCCATAAAATACCTTCAGGAGGTTTCGACTTATCGTATTTTGCGCTTTTGGCGGGAATGTAATTGGCGATGTTTATGTAAATCGTATGGCTATTAACCCTTCGCAGTCTTTTGTCACAGTTGGTAGACCATTGGTCATTGCGTACTAAAATATATGGACCGCAAAGGGTTAAGGTATTGTGAACTAACGCATTCTGCGAACTGGCTGTTTTTTAAATGAAGTGGTGAAATGTACCATACACATATCGAACATATTGATACATGCAAGTTTCATTGTGACGTCACGTTACTTCCAGTTATGACACCGTATAAAAGTTTTGTTATTGATGGCATTCTCCCTATAACTGCCTTCTGGGTCTGAAGGACTGTGATATCTAAATTTAGCCATTTGTGTTGGCACAAACTTGTCAAGTCCGATATTCCGTTTAATTTCGCGAAGGCATAATAATTAGGCATTGTATTTTAATGATCTGTGGTAATGAAGAGATAAAGAAAGTTAAACGTATCACCATCTGAGTTTTGGTAGTTACCGGGGAAGAATTTATTCTCCCTAAGAGACTCCACACATACTTATAACTATCTATGCCAATTTCAAAGGATTTGAGCAAGTTTTATTACGTCATGCAGCTTCTGGCCTGAAGAAGCACTGGGTGACCATTTTCAATGCGACGCCCAATGCCCAATTTTAACCACTGCAAAGATTTCCAGCAAGCAATTTGCGCCAATTGTTTAAACAAAATCCGACTTCCCCCCTTGGACTTCATCACGAGATAGAGCCGAATCACTGGGAATATGGCAAGTTTGTCGGGGAATTTGACAGGTCACCCCATTAGAGGTCATAAAATGTCAGCTAGTTGACAGCCTCCTCCTCCTCATCTCCAGCTTGGAAAAACAGGGTTGCCACAGGCAGTTTTTATTCACAAGAACAGCTGGAATGCTAAATGTGAGCAGGAGTGGTTGGCCTCTCAGGAATAACACAGGGACGCCACATGATGAAAGTGCTTGCATGAGGAGATCGTAAAGACTGCAAGAAAATATATACTCTCACCTCAAAAGGAAAGACCGGGGAGACCCTAAATGAATCATTTCTCACTTATTTTATTTTCCTTCTACTGCTCCACATTCCCAGTGACTCGACTATGTTCCTACTTTTGTAACCAACCCCTTGAAGAAAAACAGCCACCATATTGGAGTTTCATTTACCGGGAGAACGGGGTGAGGGAAATGTTCGCTTCTCCCCAAAAATTCCCTCTTGGAAATTTCCCACAAGGCAGTATCTTGTTCAACCCAACGTAACGACCAAAATAGCAACAAAAAAAAACTTATTGAGAAAAGTCCCACCCAAGAAATGTATCCTAGGGAGGTATCCAATAGTAAGATGTTTCCATTCCAAGATGTATCG